ACTTTATCTGAAGTCACTTGAAATAGCATAAAAACCTTTGGTCGGCGCGTCCTTTGTAATTTCATGACGTATCATAGGCGTGCGGTCATTTATTTAGAACGATAATAATAATGTTTTTTATATCACAATAAATGGATTTTACTATCTTCTTATTTTTTTGATTTGGGATAAAAAATACTTATATTGGGAGTTTAATTTATGTTGAGTGAAAGTTAAGAAATGGAAAAATTACAGAATTCCAACGTTTGACATAGGTAATATTTACATAGCTGGTAGGTATATAAAAAGGTATATAAAGACTTACATTATAGGTATTTATATATCATCCTCGCCTTCGGAGCTGTCGCTAGAGTCGTCTTGTAGAGGAATTACAACGGGATTTACAGGAGGCAAAACACAATATTCATTTTCTTTTTCAATAATATGCCTAGAACACTGCTTCCATTGGTCTGTGGCAGCAATATGAGAAACTGCATCTCTTATTGTGGCCAATAGCGATTCACTTAATTGGGAGTCTGATTATATGTTTTCTTACTTTTTTTTAAAGCAGCCCAGACCAACTCAATCGGGTTAAAAATGCAGTAATAGGGAGGTAGACGTAATACTTCATGGCCATTGTGCTGAAGCAGATTGTCACAACATACTCTTTTTCAAATTTTGTCTTTTAATAAGATCCAATAATATGGCTTTGGTTGATTTTTGTGGTATTTCCATTCCCTTATCCTTCATAAAATCAATAATGTCTTGTTTTTTGTGCCTGTATTCGGAATTTTGTTTTTCTGTCGGGAATGGTATGGCGCATTGTCCATAATAATCACTGAATTTGGGGAAATGTTTGGTATTAACTACTGCTCTATCCACTTTTCAAATAAGTCGGAGGTCATGTCCTCATGATAGTTGGCACATGATTCTTTGATATTTTTGGCAGATAACAGCAAGGCATTAGGTATAAATCCATTTTCACTGCCAGCATGGAGAATAATGATTCGTTTTCCACGGTTGCATGGTGCATTTAAAATGCACTTGTTGCTGTCGTCAACCCAGCCGTACTGCACATCATGGGTATCATACCACGTTTCATCCATAAATCAGATTTCTTTTCTGCTCTCTATAGATTTTTTAACTGTGCAAAAATTCTTGGCGCAATTCAACGATTCGAGACGACTCCATAATCACCATTCTTTTATCTAATTTTTTGTATTGAAAACCACACAGTTTTACAATACAGTGCAGTGAGTCTAAGCATTTGTAATTATAAAAATCTTCAGGATAATCTTTTAATTTATCCCGTATCATTTCCAACGTGGGCACCAAATTTTCTTTATAAAATCCGTATATTATACGACGAATATCTTCCTGAAAACCCACGTCTATTCTTTTTAATTTTTGCCCTATGCGCTTTCTGTGGAAGGAATGGTTGACTACATCTCCCCTTTTTATAACCCGATAAATGGTAGACCGACTGATTTTTGTCAGGATACAAATTCTGTTTAAAATTTGATTTTGCGAGGAATCTGGATTTTCGTTTTTCAGACAATCATACATATTTAGGATTTCTTTGGGTCTGTTCCTCTAAATCTTTATGAAAGAATTCTGCCTGCACAGGTTCATCAACCATCTCCTCGTGGCTTGGAGCATTTTCCCAAGGTCTCCAAAGAGCCATATTTAGGACACAAGAACAATCAACACAACAATTAAATCAACAAGTAAACTGGTATTCAAAAGTCAAAAACACACAAACTAATAAAATCTATGAAAAAACACGGACAGACTAAAGAAAACACGTTTATTCACCGCTACACGGCACTGGCTAAACTGTTTCAATTTTCAGTAGCCACCTGCACTTGTTCGGAGCTCTAAAATACACGCTTTCTCATTGGCTATGTCCATAGGCGTGCTTTACTCCACGTGGACCGGTGAAACTGCCTTTGATCTTATACGGGGGATATTTGCTGCGAAATTTGGCGATTTTTGCAGCAACAGAGCGTGTTAAATATAGATATATAAAATGCACCCGGTATTTCACAGTGTTTCAAGTGACCAGATAAAGTATACATCATTATCTACAGTGCGCGAATCATCAGCAGTGTTACCACTCTCTAGTGTAGTGGTATCATCTGCACACAGGACAAGACTCTGACAGTTACAGAGGGCCAGGTCATTTATGAATATTATAAAAAGCGTGAGACCTGTAACGGAACCTTGGGGGACCCCCTGCTTCTTCGCTAGAATCTTAGGATTCCCGTGTGAGCTGATGTTCTGATTTCTTTCACTGAACATATTCAAGGCTTCCACAATCAAACTTTTACTTGTACATCATTATCTACAGTGCTCGAATCATCGGCAGTGTTACCACTCTCTAGTGTAGTGGTATCATCTGCACACAGGACAAGACTCTGACAGTTACAGAGGGCCAGGTCATTTATGAATATTATAAAAAGCGTGGGACCTGTAACGGAACCTTGGGGGACCCCTGCTTCATCGCTAGAATCTTAGAACGATTCCCGTGTGAGCTGATGTTCTGGTTTCTTTCACTGAATTATATTCAAGGCTTCCACAATCAAACCTTTACTTGTACATCATTATCTACAGTGCTCGAATCATCGGCAGTGTTACCACTCTCTAGAGTAGTGGTATCATCTTCATACAGGACAATACTCTGAGAGTTACAGAGGGCCAGGTCATTTATTAATATTATAAAAAGCGTGGGACCTGTAATGGAACCTTGGGGGACCCCTGCTTCATCGCTAGAATCTTAGAACGATTCCCGTGTGAGCTGATGTTCTGGTTTCTTTCACTGAACTATATTCAAGGCTTACACAATCAAACTTTTACTGGTACATCATTATCTACAGTGCTCGAATCATCAGCAGTATTACCACTCTCTAGAGTAGTGGTATCATCTTCATACAGGACAATACTCTGAGAGTTACAGAGGGCCAGGTCATTTATTAATATTATAAAAAGCGTGGGACCTGTAACGGAACCTTGGGGGACCCTTGCTTCATCTCTAGAATCTTAGAACGATTCCCATGTGAGCTGATGTTCTGGTTTCTTTCACTGAATTATATTCAAGGCTTCCACAATCAAACTTTTACTTGTACATCATTATCTACAGTGCTCGAATCATCAGCAGTATTACCACTCTCTAGTGTAGTGGTATTATCTTCATGCAGGACAATACTCTGAGAGTTACAGAGGGCCAGGTCATTTATGAATATTATAAAAAGCGTGGGACCTGTAACGGAACCTTGGGGGACCCCCTGCTTCATGTCTAGTGTCTTAGAACAATTCCCGTGTGAGCTGATGTTCTGGTTTCTTTCACTGAATTATATTCAAGGCTTCCACAATCAAACTTTTACTTGTACATCATTATCTACAGTGCTCGAATCATCGGCAGTGTTACCACTCTCTAGTGTAGTGGTATCACCTGCACACAGGACAAGACTCTGACAGTTACAGAGGGCCAGGTCATTTATGAATATTATAAAAAGCGTGGGACCTGTAACGGAACCTTGGGGAACCCCCTGCTTCATCTCTAGAATCTTAGAACGATTCCCGTGTGAGCTGATGTTCTGGTTCACTGAATTATATTCAAGGCTTCCACAATCAACCTTTTACTTGTACATCATTATCTAAGTGCGCGAATCATCAGCAGTATTACCACTCTCTAGTGTAGTGGTATCATCTTCATACAGGACAAGATTCTGACAGTTACAGAGGGCCAGGTCATTTATGGATATTATAAAAAGCGTGGGACCTGTAACGGAACCTTGGGGGACCCCCTGCTTCATCGCTAAAATCTTAGAACGATTCCCGTGTGAGCTGATGTTCTGGTTTTTTTCACTGAATCATATTCAAGGCTTGCACAATCAAACTTTTACTTGTACATCATTATCTACAGTGCTCGAATCATCGGCAGTGTTACCACTCTCTAGTGTGGTGGTATCATCTGCACACAGGATAATACTCGGAGGGTTACAGAGGGCCAGATCATTTATGAATATTATAAAAAGTGTGGGACCTCTAACGGAACCTTGAGGGACCCCCTGCTTCACATCTAGACAATTACTTTGCGAGCTGATGTTCTGGCTTCCTTCAAGGCTTCCTCAAAGCCGATTTTTATTTTGCTGCCTGAACAGATAACTCGGATTAACAGACAGGAAAAAAATCGTATAAAAAAACTGTAGATAGTGTGTGATAGGAAACAGACAAAAGAATAACTCATCCAACAGTTAAAAAATACCGGGGTGATAAATTAAACGTTTTTTATTATCTTAAAAAATACTTACTCGCTTCTGTTGAAATTTGGCAATATTATTTGTTGTATTAAGATGAGACAATTTAGCCCTAAACATTAAAATTATTAGGACCACTGCCTTTTTTGTAACTTTGATATTTTTGGTTGTTGATTAAGCACAAAAATACAACTTACAAAATAAAAACCGTTTTATTGCATGTTAAAATTGGTTTATTAATTTTTACTAAAAAAATCACAAGTGCCTTGATAATCAAAATGCATGGAGGTTTGACATTTGCACGTTAGTTCTTCTAGAAAATGATAATGTTCTTTGCGGAATTTCTCTAAAAAGTTTTTTTAAAAACTGCATTTCCGGACACAGTCATGTTTCTAAAAACTTTTTTATATGTTTTAACAAGGAATCACCTTCTCTCTAAAATATGCATGAAGTACATTTGTGGTGACTGTCGCTGCTTCATCATAGTAATTTTTATGAAAAAAAATATAAACTGGAGTCTGTTACGCGTACACAATTCAGAAGCGTTCCACCGTACGTCATAAAATTACCACTCAATCAAGATGTTACATTCGCAGTAAAAAATGTCTCGAATCCTTGCAGATTGGTGTCAAATTGAAATCAACGAGTACTTGTTCAAGTAGTACCCTTTGAATTTAATTTTTTGTAGCCTTTGTCGAAGACAGTAATGTTACTTTTGACGCAGCAGAGGTGTAATTATTGTAATTCTTTTTCAGTGATAGAATGGGAAAATGCAAGGAAAAAGGACTAGAAGTAATGCACGGAGAGGCAGTGAGGGAATTATTCATTTGTTACACATGTAACTATGAGACTAACTGTAGAGCGGAATTGATAAGGCACTTGGGTGAAGAAAAATATGGGTCTAATAAGAGTGCTGATGTGCTTAATATTTGTGTACATTGCAAAGCCTCTTTCGTAAAATCAGAATCTCTAGATGATCATATAATAAGAAAACACCCAGATTTTGTAACGTCGGTTTCGCGTAAGATATATGAATGCCCAAATTGCACTTTTAAGAGTGTCTCTAAGTACAAAATACCTAGTCATATGAGAAGAGTACATTCTGATACAAACAGCTCGTTCTACGTGTGCACACATTGTAAATCTACTTTTAAAAAAGCGGAATCGCTGGACGATCATATAGTTAAAATACATCCAACTTTCATATCGTCGGTTAAAAGAAAAATTTATGAATGTACCAGATGTCCATTAAAAACGGTATGGAAAGGAAAGCTGGAAAAACATATGATGAAGACACACCTGAATTTACTAGTCGGTAATTTGATCAATCCGTGCTCGTCTTGCGACAAAGTTTTCAAAAATAAACAGTCGCTGGACGAGCATATATTAAAGAAGCATCCGGATCGTTTTTGGTCTATAACAAGAAAAATATTCGAATGTCCAATTTGTCAATTTCAAACAATCGCTAGAGATAAACTGCAAAGACATCGGATGGTTCATCACCCCAATACAGCATCTAACTTATTCATATCGTGCATGCATTGCGACAGCGTGTTCAAAACTAAGGATATGCTAGATGATCATATAGTGAGAAAGCATCCAGATTTCATAGCATCAGTTTCACGCAAAATACATCAATGTCCAAAATGCCCGTTCAAGACCGTCATAAAGTATAAAATAGATGGACATACGAGATCATATCATCCTGATTCAAACTCACTTCTGCACACATGCGCTCATTGTAAATCTACTTTTAAAAAGCGAGAATCGTTGGACGATCATATCGTCAGAGTACATCCCACGTTCGTATCGTCTGTTAAAAGGAAAATACACGAATGTACCAAATGTGAATATAAAACGATAAGTAAACGTACGTTGGAAAGGCATATGATGGGTACACACCCTAAAGCAGCATCCAGCTTGTTCGTCTCGTGTGTACATTGCGATAAACTTTTCAAAAGGAAAGTAGCTCTGGATGAGCATCTACTACAGAAGCATCCAGACTGTTCCGATTCTGTTGCAAGAAAAATATTCGAATGTCCGAATTGTCCGTTTAAAACAGTAGTCAAAAGCATGCTCGGAAGGCATACGATGAAGTGCACACCCAAAAGCAGCAGCAGGATGAAGCAGTCAAAACAAACAAACGCTAGTTACAAGCAAAGTACGCACAGGAAACCAAATTTTTACTTGTACATTATCTAAAGTGTTTCAATGATCAGCAGTTTCGTCTCCAATGCTCTGTTGCAGAGGGCCAGATCATTTATGAATATTCTAAAAAGCGTGGGACCTGTAACGGAACCCTGGGGGACCCCTGCTTCATCTCTAGGACCTCAGGACAACTCCCTTAAAAGCTGACGTACTGCTTTCTTTCACTCGGTAGTTATATTCAAGGCTTCCGTACTTTGCCAGATTTTTATTTTCATTCTTTCTATTTTATAACCCATACACTGCCTGAACAGATAATTCCGATTGACAGGAAAAAATCGTACAAAAACCTGTGGTAGGAAACAGGCAAAAATATCTCATCCAACAGTAAAAAAGACACCTTGTGGAACTGTAAACATCAAGTTCACTAACGCCCTCACACACACACATTACACATAACAAAAAGTGGCGAAAATAACAATAAATTTTTTCGCGGAATAGGCAAATAAAATGAAATATTATTATCTAAAACGACAATCAATAGTTACATAAAACAAGCTACATACATATTTCTACATTTGACTAGACTAGATAGATTGTACACAGATGGGCGATCCAAGTTGCACATATTATTTTCTGCCCTCGAAAAATGCCGAATTGCAACGTTGTATTAGCACCGAAGACAGTCTAAAAAGCATATAAAGTATAAAATAAATGGGCATACGAGATCATATCATCCTGATTCAAACTCACTTCTGCACGCATGCGCTCATTGTAAATCTACTTTCAAAAAGCAAGAATCGTTGGACGATCATATAGTCAGAATACATCCCACGTTCATATCGTCTGTTAAAAGGAAAATACACGAATGTACCAATATGTGAATTTAAAACGATAAGTAAACGTACGTTGGAAAGGCATATGATGGGTGCGCACCCTAAAGCTGCATCCAGCTTGTTCGTCACGTGTGTACATTGCGATAAACTTTTCAAAAGGAAAGTAGCTCTGGATGAGCATGTACTACAGAAGCATCCAGACTGTTCCGATTCTGTTGCAAGAAAAATATTCGAATGTCCGAATTGTCCGTTTAAATCAGTAGTCAAAAGCATGCTGGGAAGGCATGCGATGAAGTGCACACCCAAAAGCAGCAGCAGGATGAAGCAGTCAAAAACAAACAAACGCTAGTTACAAGCAAAGTACGCTCAGGAAACCAAATTTTTACTTGTACGTTATCTACTGTGTTTCAATGATCAGCAGTTTCGTCTCCATACAGAGCAATGCTCTGTTGCAGAGGGCCAGATCATTTATGAATATTATAAAAAGCGTGGGACCTGTAACGGAACCCTGGGGGACCCCTGCTTCATCTCTAGGACCTCAGGACAACTCCCTTAAAAGCTGACGTACTGCTTTCTTTCGCTCGGTAGTTATATTCAAGGCTTCCGTACTTAGCCAGATTTTTATTTTCATTCTTTTTATTTTATAACCCATACACTGCCTGAACAGATAATTCCGAGTAACAGACAGGTAAAAATCGTACAAAAAACTGTGGTAGGAAACAGGCAAAAATATAACTCATCCAACAGTAAAAAAAACACCTTGTGGAACTGTAAACATCAAGTTCACTAACGCCCTCTCACACACACAACACACATAACAAACAACGGCAATCTCGTTTTGGGCCCATTCAACGAATCTGCGCCTTGCTTGATGATCGTTTGGCTTCAATTCTTGCACGAGTTGGATTTTGCGCGATACTTATTCCGCACAGAACCATTATTTTCGAAATAAAACTGCACAATTTGCAAACGTTGTTCAGGCGTGAGTCTATTCATGATGAATCGCCAAACCAAACTGAGAATAAATCACTTGACAGCTGTCAAATCGGTCGCCATCTTCAAGAGTAATGCTAACTTAAAGTTCTGTACCTCGAAAAAAAAACACCCGTTACAACTGGTCGAGAGACTCGTACTGAAAACTATACAATAGCACAAAAAAGTTTAGATAAACGATAAGAGTAGTAAACAAAGAGCCGCTAAGATTTTACACGGCAGTGGTCGAGAATATCAAAAAATCTGTGTAATAACATTATCTTTCAAAATTTTTAATTTTCTACTAATTCTTTTATTAAGTAACTTTTTAGGTGATTTTTGGCGAGTCCTACAAGCAGTTAAAATACTTAACTTTGAAAACACCCTGTATAACCACGATTGAAATACTGGCGTCGGTAAAGCTACATATTTGTGTTATCGTTCGCCGCCTCACCATAGTATTTTACGAAGTTTTTTACGCTTACACAATTCAGAAGCCTTCCACTGTGCATCATAAAATTACCCGCAATTAAATTCCCGGGTATTTTAAATAACTTTTTAACCTTAAAAGGTGCATTTTGCCCTAAATTTCTGAACACCCTGTGAAAACATTGGACTACTAAATGATGTGTCTTCGTGTGAGAATGTAAAGCCTCAACATTTCCCAACAGTTCTTTTTTGATCCATGTCAATATCTCAGTTATTGCTGTTTTGAAAAAATCGTCCGAATCATAGTCATACACAATTTAATTTAAAAAATTACAGTGGCAACATTGGTAAGAAAACTATGCGAATCATGACCATATACATTTAAACTTAAATAACAGTTTTATTAAAATTTTTTATCAAAAACGAGTATTTCCTCCCAGACTTTGAATAACAGCTCTCATTCTCTCTGGCATAGATTCAATTAAATTAAACCAGTTATCGTGTCTTGGGGATTTGCTCCCAATCGTTTACCAGCCCCTGTTCTTCTTCATAGTTCTGCCTAAGCCTTCTTCCTAATGTATCCCACATGTGTTCAATGGGGTTGAGATCCGGACTCCTTGACGGCCAGTCTAATACTTGAGGTATTGTTTAGTCATTCTGGCTATATGCGTACTAGCATAATCTTGCATTAGGAACAAATTTTCTTCTATAAAGGGCATATGAGGAACCCCATGTTCTTCCAAACAGTCCTCGCAGCGAAACAAGATCTGTGCGGGATTCCAAAGAAATACCGCCCCATACCATTACTCCTCCATCAGTTTCTCTAAATATTTACGTACTGCGTGGAACGGCAAGCCTTTCTGCGATATACTGAACAGGACGACCATTTGCATGATTTTCTTCAAAACAGCATATCTTCTTCAATAATTGAGATTTGACATGAATCAAAGAACTGTTGGGAAAAGTTGAGACTTTAAATTCTCATACGAAGAACATATAATTCAGTAATCCAGTGTTTCCACAGGGTGTTCGGAAATCTAGGGCAAAATGCACCTTTTAGTTTAACACCAACAACAAACATTTTCAGTTTTTTGCAGGATCGGCAATCGATAATGATGTCGATGAAATTACCTGCAACTTGACGAAAAAATTAACGAAATTGATGAAAGGTTAAAAAGTTATTTAAAATTTAATTTTAAAAATTTTTTGTCTGCCCGGCAGTGGAAATGCCACATTCGCAATTTAAAATGTCTTAGGTGCCTGCAAAATGGCACCAAATTAAAATCGAGAAGTACTTGTTCTAGTAGTGCCCTTTAATTCAAATTTTTTGTTGCCTTGAGGTAAAAACCCACGAATTGTAATGTTTTTCTGGGTGTGGATTAAAACACTGGATTTCACAAAAAGAAATGTACTAATTTATTTGACTTGATAGAACATTTATACGAGTATACACCACTATTTATGTCTGACTAATTCTTACGTCGCCACTGACTGCACTAGACTCCACTCCGCTCTGCTACTCTAGTATTCAGTAATCTCTGCCTCCATCTTTTTTTTGTGAGGGGTGAATGCGTTTATGCACCATACCATAGCCCGAGCTACGGGTGTGGGACTCCAGGTTGTCGTGAGGAGACCACCTAATACCCATTAAACCCTAACCTCTGCGTGGCCCGACTCAACAGCGTCTCGGTAAGGCCGTGTGTTGTGAGTGACCTGCGGTCTGCTACAACGTCTCCTCACGGTTTCAGTCTCTGGGAACGCCGGGTTGGTTCCCTCTACCTCGCACAGTTCTATCGATGTCTTTAAGCGAGCATCGATAGAGGGTTTGCTATGTTCTCTTGAAACTTTTGTTTTCGAAAAATCAAGAGTTTCAAGTCCTCTACTTGTTTGTTACCTGGTCCTGATGGGTGCTGGTCCTGGGCCTGATGGGTCCTGGTCGTCCTGGTCCTCGTCCTCTGCTTTCATTCCACGTCGTGGGGGGCGGGGCGGAGCGCGGGCGGGGCGGGGCGCGGGGCGGGGCAACCTCGTAGCGCCTGCCAACTGTGACGTGGGTCTAGGGTACTTAGCTCTGTGGTTGCGAGGCCTCTCATCCGGATCGTAGTCCATGAGGAGTCGTAAAGCTACAAATGCTAACAGACACAACCTACTTCAAACAATTTCTTACCCGGCCAAGCCTGCTTGAAAAAATTTCTTGTTTATGGCTATGAATTGCATATATTCTTCAATAATTGAGATATTGACATGAATCATAAAAGGAACTCTTGAGAAAAGTTGAGGCTTTAAATTCTCATACGAAGACACATTATTCAGTAATCAAATGTTTTCACAGGGTGTTCGGAAGTTTAGGGCAAAATGCATCTTTTAGTTACACCCTGTATAACGAAAAAAATAACGTAATTGATGCAAAGGTTAAAAAGTTATTTAAAATTTAATTTTAGCAAAATGTTGTCTGCCCGGCAGTGGAAATGCCACAATCGCAATTTAAAATGTCGCAAGTCCCTGCAAAATGGCGCCAAATTAAAATCGAGAAGTACTTGTTCTAGTAGTGCCCTTTGAATGAAATTTTTTGTTGCCTTGAAGATAGTAATGTGACTTTTGAAGGAGCCGAGGTGTAATTATTGTAATTCTTTTTCAGCGAGAGAATGAGGAAATGCAAGGAAAAAGGACTGGGCGTAGTGGATGCATGCAGAGCAGTAAGGGAATTATTCGTTTGTTACAAATGTAACTATGTGGCAAACTGTACTGCTGACTTAATGAGTCATTTGAATGAAGATAATGCGAATCTATCGAAAGTGCCGATTTAATCATGTGCGAATATTG